CACGGCCAAAAAGGTCAAGATCGCCTTTCAAAAGGACCTTTTTCCTACACCACATTAACGAAATGCCCTGTTAAAAATCATGGCAATACAAACAAATTCCAGGATTACAAACCTGTGTTCATTTAATTACTGCAAACTGCACTTGCTGATAGAGACAATAAATGAGGCAGAGTAAGACGGAAGATATTACTTAGAAGCAAGCGTTGTTTCTACAAATACTCTAAGGTGTAAATCTTGAGGGCCAGATTCTTAGCTCCACGTGCGTCAACACAAAGCAATGGAGGACTCTTCCTTTCGTGTCAGGCAGTGTCCTGTTAAGATTTCTTACCTGACTCCTTATTCCTGCCTTCGGGGCTGAGGAAAGCAACCACAGAGAAGTCACCCTTTCACCAGGAAGGAAGAAAACATGTTTCTGTCCAACCCAGGGGAAGCACAGGTTTCTGATATGGTGATTTATGTTTAAATAGGGGCTATAATAAATTTATTCACTGATTTCTACTCTTTGTTCTTACAAACCAGGAATTCAGAAAAAGGTAAACAAAAAAGAAAAGCATGTTGAAACTTCATGTCCACACCACTTTGTTCAACCACTGCTTGAGGTCTGAGAGACTTGGTAACCTCTCAAAAGCAACCACTAAATTCGAAACCCTAAGGCCACAAAGAATTGACCCCAGCTGACCCAAAGAAGACCTGCTGTTCCACAGGCAGGACCCTGTAGTTTTCCCATAGTGAAGGGTATTTAACCACTGCACTGTCTCTGGTTTGCTGTGGGGCTGCTGAGATGGAAAAACAGCACTGTCTGCACTTGCTCTCAGCTCTTGCAACGTGTTTTCCCACCCCTTTAAAGAACAAGGAGCTGAACCTACATTTAGGAACTTTCCAGAGATAACATATAGGTCCCATTGGGCAGTTTTATGTATTTATTTTGTCTTCCTTTACAGAAAAAGACAACGGGCAAGGGAGTTCAAATGAAGCTCAGAGAAGCCAAAAAGGAAACCACAGGGTTTATTTTTCTTCTCAGAGCTCATGTTTAGTGATGCCTCATCCCTCAGCATGAGAGGTATTGTGCTGTACTTTCCTAGGGTTTTTGAATATCTCTGGTCACCCAGAGAGATTCTGCAAACTCAAATAATGCTGATGTGAACTGAAAGGTGCAAATAAACACTCTTCAAGTCTTCTCTATTCCAACTCTCTCAGACCTCAGGAGAGATACCTGGAGATAAGATGTTCCAGTTCCAGTAGCAAAGGTCTTCTTTGACAACAGGTTTTGGAAAATAAGATTGTTTATCCTCCGGTGATAGTTTTGCTCTTTTTGGTTCATAGAGTATAAGGGAGAAAATTCTTTCCTAATGTCTCCTTCTGTTTATCCCTCTCCCTCCAGCTTCCTAATTCCACGCAAAGGGAAAGGTCATAGAGACAAGACTGAGAACTTGGTTTATTACACGAGCTCCCCTGCTCAAAAGCAGTTTTCGTTCTTCTTTTACTTCCTCCAATCATGACTGTGCCCTTGAAGGCCCTAAAAGTTAAACAGGACCATCCTGGAGGCACTTTAGCTCATGTTGCCTATAAACAACCACAAAGGATTAACATTTCAGTCTGTGCTTTGTAACTGGGTCAGACTATGCTGACAACAGAAAGTTTGAGTGGTATAAGGCCTTTCCACACCATGGTAAAATTCCCACTGACTTCAACAGCATGGGAATATCACTCCTTCCCCCAGATCTGGGGGAAAGCTTCCTTCCCGAGAGATTACAGGTTTGTGATTAGACCAGGTGACAGCACTGGCTGAGATGCAGAAGCAGCTCTACTACCGGACTGGAGAACGCAAGTCTAATAATTAACCTGAGGAGTAAATTCTGATCCTTTAAATGGAGGTTGTCTTATAAAAAAGCTCCAGATATACAATCTGCTATTTAAATACTTGTAAAAACTTTATCCCAGAAATTGAGGTCCTTCTTTCCTTCAAAGAGGGACTATAGAGAGCAGGTATGGTATTTTTCTGCCTTCCTCCAGCTTTCGTGTCTTGGATGCAAAGAAATGGAGGTATCTGGCTCTCTGGGCAAATTGTGAGGTATCTGTCAGTTCGGTGATCCCTTCAGGACCCATCCATACCCTCTGTCATGTCACTGTATGCCAGAGGACTGGTGTGGGTGCTGTATCACATGCTAAAGTACCAAATGCATGGCTGGTAGGCATACTTCCAGCAAATTGTTTACTGTGGACAGGACAAAAGATTTGACACAAAGAAGGGAAAATTAATCACCCAAACAATGAAGTAAGGGGTTCAAGTTAATTTCAGGCCCTTTTATTCAGGAGGTCTTTGGCAGGGCCTGTTTTATCCTCCTTGCCACAGCGGGGCTAGCTGAGCAAGCAAGGAATGCGTGCAGCTCGCAATAGGTCAGTAACTTCACAGAGGTCAAGGAAATCGCTCACATGCTGAAGCCAAGGAAGCCAACCCACACTATGGTAAAATGTGTGCTTACTGAGCTTTGCTGAATCAGCACCTACCTACTGCATAGAGTCCAAGGATTGCTGCAGTTTCCAGTTCACCTGAAAAAAGCTTCCCTTCCCCTCCGTAAGGAAAGTGTCTTCTCCTGACAAACTGACAGAGCTCTTCCCCTACACCACGACAAGCTAATACATGAGCGATACCAGATGCACCCTGCATGAAGTTACCAAATCTCAGCCACTTTAATCCAGTCTAACAGGACAGACTGGTGCATGTCAGCATGGGCCTTTGTCAACCTGTGACCTTCAGCTGACACTACAGCTGCTGTCTTGAAGAACCTGACCTACTCCTTAATTGCTGAACACTGCTGAACGAGGCTGTCAAGGACAGAAACGAGGAAACAGCACCAGGTTCAACACTTCGTCCAGGGTCAGCATCACTAGGGTCATCTTCTTGCAAAGTGAATCTGCTGCAGCGTCACTGAGTTTGTGATGGAAAACACATTCACACTAGAGAGAAAGAGGGAGTAGACAATGTCCACTCCAAGACATCATCTCTCAGCCTGGGTAATCCACACAGAAGACCAACAAGTGCTCTTTGGACAACTGAATTGTTATCTCTCTTCCAGCACTATTCACATGTTGAGTTAATCTAAGTCAAGGAAATTCATTATTATGCCATAAATGTAAAAAAATTGCTTCTGTTTAACATGACATTTGAGTTTGGGAAAAAGCTTTTGCACTGGAATCCAATTATTGACTAACACTGCTAAGATCATTCCCAGATTTGACCTCTGCCTGTAATTTCTGTTGTATTTTAAACCACAAGTTTGGCAGAACTACTGACATGAAAGGACTTTTACCATCCCCGCCACACAGCCGTAGGTAACGTATGCAGAAATAAACAAACTCCCTCTCACTTCTCTATTGATTTCCATCAACAGCTTTGCAATGAGAATGGATTTGACCTTTCACCCTAAACAGGCATCCACCTTGCTAACACCTCTGGTTGTTGAAGCTAGCAGATTCTGCTATCTTCAGAAGAAACTGCTATCTTTCAGAAAGAAGCTGTGGCACTGATCCTGGCAAATGACATCACATCACCTCCTATGAACTTTCTAAATCAGGACGTTATTCATTCCCAGCTCACCTCTGAATTCATTCAAAGCTGGATCCTGCCCATAGCCAACACAGCTTCTCTAAAGAAACCCCAGAAAAGCCAGTCGATCTGTTAGCAATGACAGTTCTTAAGCCTGGTTTACAAGGGCCAGTTTACCTCAGGTCTAAGTAGGGATGAGGCCTGACAGATAATTCTCCAGTGATTAAGGTTTCCACCATGGCACTCTGGAGTGGAGTCTCTGGTGTCTGTTAACCCAGCTGGGTTCACAGTTCAGTTACATGAATTCTTTGATGTCTCATTATGCAGTTAAGTCTATGCTTCCTAGATTTTTCCCTGAGGCACTTCTCTCTGCAGACACTCATTTCCATGAAACTCCTAGGGATCTTAGTATCTCCGATATTGCTGTCATTGTGCCACAATCCGCCAGCGGTTTCAAGAAGCATTTGGCAAGAGGGAGGTTAGGGAGAAGGGAGGCAAGGGAGTCCTATCGCATAAATTACCTTTCTGTGTGAAAACTAGGTTAAACAAAGGTACACTGCAATAGCAGGCGTGAAAGACTATTTCTTGACCTAGCAGAGAGAATCTGACTCCTTGTTCCATTTTCATCACTGGCCTTTAGATTACACTGCTCTTTAAAACAATTTCAGACACAGAACTATTTCATACAGTGATGAAGAGCAAAGAAACATTTTAAGTGTGAGAAACTGCACCCTTTCATTTGCCTTAAATCTATTTGTTTATAAAAAAAAAATCAGCAACCAGAAAAATCTCAACTTCTTCACCTCCCTAAGAATTTACTCCTGGCTATCTCCCTCTTCACCTCATCCATCTCCTCAACACAAGTTCATGTTTTTAATTAAGAAAAAAAAGATCTTATACTTGCCTTTTGCCTGGAATTCCTCTTTTTGTTTCTCCTCACTACTACAACAACAACAACTACTACTACTAAAAAAAGAATACCTAACACTGAAGGCAAATACCAGTATCTGGTCTTAGTGTCTTTGTATCAACAGCTTTGGTAGAGTTTGGTTCCAGTGACCAAAATGACCATGATTCAACCATAAATTGCATATTCACTTTGTTGCCTACTCCAGATGTGAAGCTTCATATCCAGAACTCTCATGCAGCAACACGCAGCACGTAATGGAAGTCATATTATTACCACAGACACCAGGCCGCTTGCAAAACTTGGTATTTCAACGCCCACAGTTTCAAAACTCTGAGACCCTGGGGGTCTTAAGGCATAGAATCTGAACCTCTGCAGTCTCCAGTTTTAGATATTAGGAGCACATTTAATTGCACAGAAGCTCTGGCATTCTGGGTAAGAAGTTTTCAATGGATGAACAAGACCAATGACTGCTTAAGAAGACTTCATCAATACAGTGCAAGAAGACAGATAAAGAAAACAGCCTGAGAAAAGTAACCAATTTACCTGGAGAATTAACAGCATCTGAATAATGGAAGGTGGAACTCTGGCTCTGGAACGTGATAATGCATCTTCCAATTTAATGTTGAGTGTAATTATATTCCTAAAGTGCAGAAGAGCCAGCTGCCGAACCGAGGGCTCCTTCCCCTTAGAAACAGAAACAAAGCAGGATGGATTATGAGCAGTGTGAAAATGAGTTTCAAAATCCTCTGTCAAAATTCCTTCTTCTACCTCTGAGGGATTACAAGAATGGTAAATCTGAATGAAAAGCAAAGGAAACGTAACAAAGGACACAGAGCAGCCTTCAAGTCTGCGCAGTGAATTTGATTTGGCAGTAATGAATGCTGCAGACTGACTGTGTATGAAGACGATGAGGGGTTGGGGCGGGGTGTGGGGGATCATACCTGAGCACCGCATATACATGAGTATTTTGTGCTTTAACAGTAATGAAATGCATCAGATGTTTAAAACAAAAAAAAAAAGCAAGGTCGAAAAAGGGTTGAATTTCTTTTATTTCCCATGATTTTGAGTACTGGCTGGGTACTGTCTTCAAATTACGGTGGGAATTCTGACGCTGCCCACCTGTGGATCCTCCTTTTCTCTACATTTGGGAGGCTTCACTATAAGGCAGAAGCAGAGCTGAAGTTTCATACTGCGTTTTCAAACAGATCTTTTTGCAGTTCAAGAATATCTTCCCACTGAAGGAAATCTCAACTGAAGACTACAATGCTCTGCCTGCAGAGATTAACAGCGCTTGCCTTATGAGAAGTTGTAAAACTGTTACTGTTTCTGGCATCAGGTTTTTTTACTTGAGTATATATGGCTGTACATATACAGTTACATATACAAGTTCTGCCAGCTAAATATTAATACTTCTGGAAGGTCTGCTACTCAGCTGGTATTGACTTACCTTAGTCTGAAATAAAGAAGCCTCACCCAACCCCATCCCACTCATTCTTTTTCACTTTGTGAATTATTTATACTGAAGTAAAGGTGGTCCCAAATCTGCTTTGATTGCTAATAAAGAGAATTTACAAGAGCACATAAGCACCAGCTGGGCTTTTGGAAGTACTCTCTGAACATCAGGCACCTAGATCTATTTGAAATTACATAGGACTTGAGGCTCTTATTTCCTCTAGGTTCCTTTGAAAATGCATGCAATTATTTCCATCTGAAAGGTGAGGAGACTTATGTTGTGAAATCATTTTCAAAGGCCTCAGGAACACAACAGTAAAGAGGGTGCAATTTTCAAAAACAGCTGAAGGATTTCTAATTTAGTCCAGCGCTTTTCGAAAACCAGGCTGAGAGCCTACCTATATCTCTATGTGCCCAAACGCCTCCGATTCAAAATATGTGGCACTTAGAAACTCTCCCATCGTGTTCTAATAGGTTTTTAATACCATCTTATTTCTGCCATTTTGAAGTTTCTGTTGGTAAGACACAAGCCCATGGGTGAACTACTCCTCTATGTTTTTAGAGCCCTTCTCTTTCAGAATCAAATTCTGTGAAGAGTTGCAGCTTTTCTACAGAATTCAGACTTCATGCCTGTAATTATCTGCAGATGCAAATGGTAATATCGTTAACATTTGGACAGTCCTTTTAGGCATGAAGTCGACTTGGAAAATTGGGAGAAAGTTTCTGAAGTTTTTCCGAATACAATTAGGCATCAAACTCCCACAAAAAGCAGCAGGCATCGAGGAGCAACTCTAGAAGGTCACCTACACCTCTCTGGCACAGATTTCCTTGGGATTTAAGTGACAAACAACACCATGACTGAGTCTGAAGATTAAGCCTTCATCTGAAGCAGATCAAGTACCTACTGTGGATTTAAAATTACTGAAGTCAAATTCTATGCTCATGTGAACTCGTCTAACTCCACTGACTTCTGCTGTTCATATACGGTAGCACAAAATGTGACCTCAGAAATACAAATTCCTTTTCAAAAGCGGCGATACTTCAAAGACAAATTCACACTGCAGAGAAGGAAATGCATATACTGAAGTCAGCACAGCTCCATGTATTTCACTGTGTGCATACTTCAGTTTCTTGTTCATAACCTTTCTTGGGTTTTAGTGCGAGCAGACATAAGGACTAACCATCCTCCCCGAGCCCCACTCCTGTTTTTAAAGTTTCCCTTCATCTTTTTCACCCAAGTACTTCAAACCCTGTTTGCATAAGTAACTTATTTGCATGACGAGACTATACAGAACAGCTACACTGTGAGGCTGGCCCAAGGAGACAGTTAAGGATTGCATCAATCTCTTGATGAACCAGCAAAGCTGCTTGTTCCAGTTTTTCAAGATTCCATAGTAACAGAGTAATTTTTCACCTGCACGGGATAGAAAATAGCCTGAAGCATGGGCAGGACATCACTGAAGAAAAAATCCCAGGTTTCAGCTAAGGTATCCAGTAGTTTCTGCCCTGCAAAAACATGAAACAAACCCGTGAACCATTTAGGTTGTAATCAGCAAACTCCAAAGTCTAAAACACGCAGGAAACAATGTGTATCTGCTATTACACACAAAGATGAATCACGTAACTGCTACTATTAGCAGTATGGAATTAGTATTCCTTTCACTATATCGGATCATTCAGTATTTGTGTCTTTTCAGATGACACATCTAATGTTCTTAGTCAACTCAGACACTTTGAGGTTAACGCTTACTCAGAAAAACCCTGGGAAGAATAAAAAATGAGCTTGGGTTACCTCCTCCTTTTCTTGCAGTAATACCTACTGGACAAGACTGCAGAGGAGAGGAGGAGGGCACAGCAGGTTAAACGTGGAAACATTCCTGCAGAGAAATCTCCCCCACGGTGCTCCCCTCTAAGCTGTAAGCCAGCAGAGCAAACTGTGCTCTGTGGAGATCCTCCGCAAAGCATCCTCTCAGACTGATCCCTTAGCTTCCCTGCCCCTCCACTTAGATAGAAAATCTCACCCAACACCTGTGGAAGAAGAGGAAGGAGTTGTGGCTCTACTTTTACTGTAACTTTCAAGGATGCAGTCAAAACCTGCTGTGACATGTGCTCCCCATGGTCTTCGCAGCAAGGCCATCTCCTCTATTCACCTCCCAAGCTGCAGCCACCTGGAAGCCTCCCCAGCGGAGACTGGAGAAGCTCTGGTCAGGTCCTACAACCAAGTTGGACACAGAGTTCCTGGCAAAACATTTTGTAAAGCACAGAGGCAAATGCAGGAGCCAAGCTCTACAGGAGAGGAAGTCTGGCTCGATAGCTGAATGCTGGCTTCCAATCCCCGTTCCCCCAGATGGCCTGTGTGACCTTGGGCAAGCTCTTCAGCATCCCTGTGCCCCTAACCCAACAGTGAATTGAGGGCACTGCACCTCCACCAGCAAGTATGATGGAGATAAACACATCCATGATCATGAGGCGTTCAGACAAGACCATATGACTAACAGAAAGGAAATTCAACAGCAATCAAGCAATACTACTGCTGGTGTCAGAATCAGATACTCTTGATTCTGGTATTACAGCATTACTTAGGACCTCAGCCAGGGAACATTTTGCCCAGAATTGCACACACATCACAAAGAAACTGTATGAAAGCATTTACACTCCAAGTTAGTCAAGTGCCAATCTTTATTACGGGATACTTGATCTCCCTGCATTTTTAAGCCTGTAACAAGTAACACCAGCTCTGGCCCATCTGCAGCTTCCGAATTATTGCGGCGTTGATGACTTTAATTAGCGCTTTCAGTGACAAATGTGGATCACCATGCTATACTGCAGCTGCTGGTTTAAGAACCATGCCAAGGTCTTTGTTTCTGCACCACCAGGTAGGGGATCTGTCTTACACACACTCATGCACGAGTCTAAAAAAGGTGTTCTCAGTTTCAATTTTTTAAAAATTTGTGTTAGTTCTAGTGAAACACAGCAGGGACCCAGGACCAAAATCTCCTAGCAGCTGCAGCAGTAGTAGTAATAAATACCATTGCATTAAAATCCCTATACACCAGCGTCTGAAACACTGAAGTGTTTCGAAGACATAAATCCGATTATGAAGGAGAAGTCCAACTACTCTATGCCTTGAGGGCAGAGTTTTAAAAAGAGTTAAATATGCTGTTGCCCACAGGTTACATGGAAACTAAACCCTTACAATTCTGGCTCCAGATGTGGGTGCTGAACATCGGTCCTTTTCAAATTCTGCTGCTGGAACTGCATGAAGTCAAACGAGGCTGTTGAGACAACCACGCCTTTACTGCTGCACACTCCTTTCATCTTGCGGGCAGCTCGCTTTGTGGCATGATGGATTTCTGTGCAGCAGCTCGGACATGCTGCAGAGTCGACTGCCTTTTGCCAGGCAGGCCTTTTACCGGGTGCTTCTGCTGTCTGTTGTTGATGAGCATCTTTCACACTGAAGAATGTAACTTCCGTGTCCTTTCAAGATTATGTTTGTTTTACTGTCAGGCAAAGATCCCTACGTTTGCCATAAACATTTGCCAGATTCCAGGAAGCTGGGTTACTCCAAATGCTCATTTTAATGAAACACAAGGTAGTCAATTTTGTATGACATAAGAATGCATATAGCACTTTTCACAGTGCTTCCAGAAGTTAATTGAAGCTTCTGAAAGAAATATAAGAATTAAAAAATCATCCTTGCAAAGCGAAAGCTAAAATTTTCAAAACCTCCAGCAGGACAAAACCCCTCCAAAGTGTGCTCTGAAGTGTAATTTTTCTTTTTTGAAAACTTCAACATCAACTGGATAGTGAAACTCAAATGATGGGATGCAGGACAACATGAGGTCTGAGGGCACACCACTGCTGCTGCAGACCCAGGAAGGGAGCCCTGCTCCAAACAGAAGCTCCCAAGATTTTGGTGCTCCCAACTTTGTTTCAGGTGCTTTGGGAGCCATGGGGTCACTGACTACAGGATGGACTCTGGCGGGCTGCCTCTGCTTCCAGGAAACCCAAATTCCAGCATTGGAAACACAGCTCCATCAGTAGCTCCCCAGGCAAGCTAACAGAAAGCTGTCTGTCAGAGACCTCTGTCTCCGAATGAGATTCCTACATTACACCTACCCCCTGTAACTTGCCAGGTTCAGAAAGCTGACATCTCCAAGGACAGACTTGGAAAAAACATGACCCATTTCATCCTCACCTTACCAGCATTTCTGACCCTATTTTAAGCCGCAATCACAAAATGATACACCAAATTCAAAACCAAAATGAACTTAATGGCTTGCTGAAATCTGGTATTTGCTGATCATGCTCCTACATTTGAAAGCCAAGTGGTCTTACATTTCAATTTTTCATCTCAGCTTTGATCTGAAACATCAGAGATAGTATTTTTGGTTTTCAAGCTAGGAAAACCAGAATAAAAAGAGGTTGGACTCTGGTAGGTCTCTGCATTTAATCTGCCAATTTGACCCTTAAAAAAACAACTTCCTTGGTGATTTACAAAGTGCTATGAAGGTCTCATGATCCTTATGGTTCCCCTTGTGTTCTCCAAGCTGTTATTTTATATTACTGAGGAATTCTTTGTTCAGCTTAGAAGACTTTGGGTACTGTTTCTTTTTGTTGGTTTTTTGTTTGTTCTTTTTAATGTGAAAATTGTTCTCTTTTTGTGGTATTCAGGGCTATTGTCTTTTCATCAGAAAAGCTGGGTCCCACAGCACCATCTTAATCGGACCAACAGTACTGTCAGTAATGAAGGCTCACATTCAGGATTTATAGATATCTGAAACTAATGGAAACCGTTGTCTCCAGGATACTGCTTAAACGGTGTCTTTAGACTAAGTGGTATTATGACTGCAGCTTTGGAGAAGGAAAGACGCAATTCTCTTAAAACTGCCTCAAGACTCTCCAGAGATCTTCAGACTGTTTAGATGGGCAATAATTCTTGAAGATATTCTGACACCATGTCACCCTTGGGTGACATATGCCTATGCCTAGGACAAAACAGCATATTTAAATGCCGCACAACAGCACAGGACACAAAATGAGGGTGACTGTGAAACAACACATCGGGTGGAGGTTATCCTTGACGTTTATTCCCATAAGGTACAGACAGACAAATGGAGCCTTGACTGTAAAATAAGAGACAGTGTCTGACCTTGTTTAGGTAAACATGAATCCAGAATAACTCTTAACCTACAGCATTATTTTGAACTTAGCCAGACACATCTACTAACTGGGACCTTAGTGCTTAGTTTTTTATTTATTGTATTTTTCCAGTTTTCCTTAACACTGAGCAGGCAAGAACTGAAGGAGAAGTAAGTGTCCATGCTGGAGGTAATCTTTCCTTTACTCCCTCACTGCGGCTCTAGGCAATCACCTCTCCTTGATGAAAGCCAATGGGAACACCAAAGCAGGACACAACTACAGTCTGCAGCAACAAATTGGTACAGGCTAATCCATAGGCCCGGGAAGACAGTGGAAAGCATCATGCTGCCTCCAGAATGCATTGCTAAAACTCCTGTGACAGACATAGACAGCCACGCTAAAATCCAAGTTACCTTCATAAAATCGGATCTTGTCCCTTAGGATCACCATGCCTTTTGTGAGCAGCTGATTCTGTAAATAAAATGTAGATTACCTTTAGTCATTCAGTACTTCCCTACAGCCACTGTATTTCACATTTTGTTCATTCTTAAGTTCTGACAATGAAGGGGGCCCTTTATCCTGTGTCCATCTTGCTTAAATCACTTGGGACACTTGCCCGATGATGGCAGAATCACCTCCTGCTTTTAGGATACAGCACGTATTCTGTGCAGTACAAAATGTTTCTCAAACTCCTAATGGCTGACCCACAAAGCATGTCCTCTTAGAGATGCAGAAAGAGTAGTGCTTCAACAGACAGTGTGTACTTACTGCCAAATGTCTTTCCTATTAACTATACTTAATTAATTAACTGAACTTCATTGGTTCACTCAGGAACTTAAATTTTAAGTTAAAAGAGAATGTCTGAAGTCTACAACAAACCAGCAATGTCATACAGAAACACACAGACTGCACAAATCTGTTCCACGACTTGGGTGTTCACTATCTAACTATACATATATATAAAATCCAAATCTCATTGGTCCATGAATGCCAGAATGCAGAGAAGCCAGTAGACATCTCTGAATGGTTTCAAGGGGCTCCAGATAAGCATAGAGAGTGGGTGAAATGATTTTGCTCAGAGGCATATAATGAATTCTGATTTAAATTTGATTTAAAGGCAAGAAAACACATGCCTACCTGTAGATATTCAGTGAAAAAGGATCCCAGTTCTGTTTTCAATAATTGCCTGTATTAAAAAAGAGTAAGAAAAGGATCTGTGTAATCAGCAAATTGTGTTAGCTGTGCACTGCAAGGAAAAGAGGAAGTCACTAATAGCAAAATATTTTCATATGAGCACAGAGCCTGTCAATAATGCCTAACTCCCAATAGAGCAAACAGGGTCAACAATACCAAGGTTCCCAACCAGCATCTCCGTGTGTTGAAAAATACTTGCTGTGCTTTTAGATGGCGCAGTTGCACCAATACATACGAAAGGAAATGGAGATTTGCCAAAAAGAGAATGCTTTCCATCCTACATCTAAGCCTTTTAAAAATGTTCTCCCGCTCTGCCAGGGCTTCACTGGGGCCTGGTGTTGCAGACGTGGGAGAACTCCTGGTGCTCTCTGCCCATCTGTGGGCCTGACCCAAAAAACAAGCATGTGTCTTGGTTGACATGCTCAGAGCCAAATCATCCCTGTCCTGTGTAAGGTTGAAAAAAAAGAGCTGTGACAAAATGTTTAGAGGGAAACCCGAAGCAGGACAGTATTCCGTGGGTTTTGTTGCAGGTGTGAAACCTGGCCAGTTTTTGTTGAAAGGGTCACTATCTTCCACTCAGGAGACCCACCACATCTGAAGTTTCATGCGGTTTCAGTAGGACTTTGTTGCTCTGCCTTTCCTCAATTCTCTACGCCCAAAGCAATCTCAGACAGCAAACCAAACTCACATGCAAAAAATCCCCACAAACAACCTTCAGATTCAGAAACTGAATTCAACCCGAACCACAAGCCCAATGGTCGTATCCAGGTAGAACCCACTACGTGGCTAGAAAGCTGTATGTCATTTAGGTCTCCGACGCTGGATGCCAGATATACTTCTCTGCACTCAGGTCGCTACTTAGATGCATAAATAAGACCTTATAAAAATGTAGCCCCAGCTGGGCTTTCTGAACATCTGCAAATCTGGGCTGGAGCTCTTTTGAAAACCTGTCTCTGTGTGACCACCTCAGGTCCCATGAAGAAATGAGGTCAAATCCGACTTAAAATCTAAACACCCACCTCAATTAGGGTAGTTATGTAAATTATATATTTGGTAGCATGTTATCATCTATCCCTTTTGGTTATGTCTTTACCTAACAAATAACTATTTAATCAAATTATTGAACTAGTAAACAAATACATGTCTGGTTTAAAAAGTCCAGCATATCCCTACGCTCCATGAAAAAGTCTGCAGGAGTTGAATCCGATGTTTTTATTGCCACAGCCATGCTTCAGCACAGCCTCTTGACATCTTCTGAAAGTTCAGGGAAAGGAAGAGCAGGTCAGTCTTCAGGAGGCTGAAATACAGCATCTTATTTATTTATCCTTAAGCACATGTCCATGCTGGGCTCAGCTCCCAGTGGAAAAACTCCAGGCATAAATGAAATAGAAAATAAACAATAGGAAGGGTTTGAATGCTCCTAAGCATCAAAACCCTTTTCTGCTAGAAACCTAATTAATTCAAACTAACTACGGACAAAAATTTTTAAAGGCAGCTCAGGCTTTAGCCACAGGTCTCTGATTGCCAGGAATGGCCAGTGTATTGCCAGCACTCTCAGCATGCTGTTGCAGCACATGGAGAGGTAAACCCTTGCAGTGCACTGCGACTCCATCATCAGTGGTACCCACTGACAAGCCCTTGGCAGGGGTTAAACCTCACCTTCCCCAGAGACTGTTAAAGCCTCAAAGCCTTAAGAGCACATCAATGAGTACAAGAATGCTATAAGCAAATCATGCCATGCTCACTCAAAGTCACTGTCCACGTGGTGTGATTTTTTTCTGGATTGCCAAGTGATGGAACTAAAGTTTTTTCTTACTCTGAACATGTATAGATAAACCATTTTTAGATTAAAATAACAAGCAAGTTTCACTTTTGAATATAGTGAACTATATGCTATAGTAAAACTATACTATAGCAACTATAGCAACTATATGCTATAGTAAAAGCAATTTATTCCCAGATATCTCTTTGTGACACTGTTTCAAAAAAATACTGATACATTATGCTGACAGGATCTGCTTAATTTTCTACCTTCTCCTCAAGCTAACAGCTCTTAGAAGTCTAGTGCTAGATTCCTCATAGTCTTGAACAGGTGATTTGCAAATACATCCTCCTTTCATGTTTAGGCTCCTACTAATAATTCCTGGCATTTAGAGCAGGAAACACAAAAAGGTGTTCCACTTATCCAACAACCAGCCCTCTGATAAAACAAAATCCCACCACACTTCCTTTTTTTTCAGCTGTGAATGAACTAAACAACCAGCTTGTAGTTAATTACATGCACTGGACTGCATCACACCAAGCAGCACTACGACTACATTAGCATCTCTCTTTACAGGGTGGAAGAAGAACTGACAGCACAACTAATGCATCTTGCACTTTGAACTCCTGATAATACAGATACTTCATGCTGCTTAATTAATTTCTGGTGAAACAGCAAGGCCCTCAGGCCACATCAGAACACGTGTTTGATGTTCTCTGTACTCATTTAAGAGAGATCTGCAACAACACTGGATCCAAGACATTGCTTGCTATTTTCTTTTTCATCCTTGCTTAATTTCCTTTAACAAGAATCAGTGAGGTTGACACCTGTCAGATCCTGGATAGGTCAGATTACTGAATAACCTTATCTAGATATGTGGGCACTGTGGCGGCATCCAGGTAAAAATCTGATCAAACCTAAAGGAGATCCCTGATCAGATAGGAGATTTTATTTCAAGTACATCTGATTTTGAAGCCAGCCATTTTGCACTCTTAAGAAGCTTGTACATCACTGATATCAGGTCTTCACTGCCACTTAATGGCTTCATAATTTAAGATGATAATATAATTCACATAAAATATGCTAAAATAGCTACTGACTTTTTTGTAGCTTCCTGCTGTCGCTTCTTTGGTTTATTTTGAAATTAACTCTTGCAGCATTACTTGGAATGGAAAGTCTAGCTCTGTATAATATCTGATTTTGGTTTATTAATTAAATAAATGAAGCAAATAGAAACAAGTGATTTTGCTGGGTTTGAATACTTGCTACGAAGGAGGAAATGCCACTAAAAATGTGGTTTGTTTGCATTAAGCCAGTATCCTGAAACTCAGAAAAAGCGCAGCTATAAATACATATTAGCTTTAATACAACACATCCTGCTTCCACTGTGTTTCCCTTTCCTTTCTTTTCTTCCTTGATTTACCAGTGGTGTAAATAAACACTCTGAAATGAGATACGGTACATGACAGGAAAAGGAAAAAAACACCAAACGATTACTCATACCATACACGTGCACCAGGAGAAACACTAAACAGTAAGTATATGCATATAGATTTTTATTGCCTGACTTTTGAATCAATCCCTTATTAAATCACCTAGTAAGGTCTCAGAAGAAGTCATATACAGGCCATACACTGGTGAGACTCTCAGTGACTGGAGTATCTTCTCACCACCTTACTGTGCTTCATTAGCTTCAGCAGAGTCAGTGAGGAGTTACAGCAACATGAGAGAGACTCAGGTCATACAGTGACTTCCTTGGTAGTAGGGCTTCTGCGTGCTACATAACTCCATATTTAAGGCCGCTTTCCAGAGGAATGCAAGAATGGTGTCAAAACGCATCAGTGTAAATGTGTAGCAGATTTTATAAGCCAAACCTAGAAAAAATGTAAATGGTACTGTACGGATCTGTACCCACTGGTGTTTTCTTAAATAATCAGTGCACACGTAAGCAGAGTTCATCGACTCGAGATGCGTCCTCAGGAAAGGAAGTTATACGCACTTGTTTGCACGTATGTGACATACAGTAGCTGAATATACCCGACATTCCTGAGTCAAAAGGATGGTGTGCAAATATTGCGGGCACAGCCTAACTGTTCAAACATTTACACTTGGACTCTGAGTCAACTTGGAAATTCACGGTTTAATTATGAAAAGTATCTAGAATCTGCTCTAATTAAAGTGGTAAAATAAAATAACTTCTTTTACTGTCCTATAACTCTTGAAAAAAAGGTAGATACTAATCATTTACCTGAACGGTTCCACGCTCAGATTCTGCCCAGTGGAAATACTGGCTGTTTGTTTCTTTTTACTTATGTATGGGAGGGGAAAATGCATCTCAAACAACTCTAAGGCAAACAGACACTTGGTCCACTTCTGAGGTCATGTTAATGAATCAGACATTTTTGCGTTCAATAATAACATTAACCCAAAGAAAGTTATTTTTTATTAAATAACAATAGTAGTAAGCCAGATATTTTTGTTATGTCTGAAATCAATAATTTCTTAGTTAGGTTTTGAGCTGAAATTAACTGAGGCAAAAGGGCTTTATTTGCAAATAGTCAGGAGGCCCTGAAAAGTTATTGACTATGGCCAGCAATAAAATGAAGCACACGCAGGAGCGCAGCAGCTTCTGTGAAGAGGTCATGGCTGGACATGTGAAGAGGCATGTTTAAAACGTACTATGACCATCCTCGCCTCCAGAGAGAGATCTTTTGGCTGTTGTGTCCCCTGTCCTGTCACAGTTTTCTCTTCTCAGCTTTTTTCAATGAATGAAACAAGCTGGACACACACAAGAAGCTTCACAAAAATGCAGAGTTGTCACTGAGAAGATGAACAGCTTTTGGCAATAAATTAGGAGGCTGTTCAGGCCAAGTCGGAGGCAAGAGGAAACAACCTCAAAGCAGCAGTAGACAAGAACCAGCCTTGAAAGCCATGCTGCATCTCACCAAACGCTCGCTCAGCCCAGGAGTGTTACGCTGCTGCTGCCTCCTTTACAACAGCAGCTCTCTAGCTGAGGTCTAGATTTCACAATATTTTGTCTATCAGCTCAGGTATGAGTCACCAGGCGTTCTCCCTGAGCTGAGCAACCAGCTGAGGAGATAACAAAGCAGCCTTATCCTTACCCTAACAAAACAAAATGGGCCTATCATGCAGCAGCAAAGCCCATCATAAAATGGTAAAAGTATCAGCCTAGCTGTAGTCAGCTTGCCTGCTTGGCTGCCTGACATGCTGCAATAAATTTACACAACTTTATTATCAAACATCATCATGGTGCAGGGTTAATGAAAGCAAAACATGGGCACAATTCGACACGTAACATCTCTATCTGCTGGTTCATACATGACTGTATTTGTCCCTGTAACATAAGCAGATGATCTTCTCTTTTCTATCCCTCACTAGCAGACCAGCATCCTGAAGCAAATGCACTGGGCCAGGAAATCTCAACCCTGAACTACCATTTTTTGTCATTCAGATAAAGCTGAAGAATCCTAACTGCACTTACAGTAATAATGATCAACCATTGTTCCAATAACTAACTCAAAATGACTGACGATCATACTAACTGACAGCCATCCTAGAAAAGCTATTCTTTGTATGTCATTTTCTCCCTAGAGAAGTAAGAAATAACTGCAGATTGTTTCTTTTAATTTCAGAAAGACACAGAGAGAAGGGAAAAGAGAGATCACAGGCCAAACGTCATCTGCCTGGACTTCTCTAAAGATATTCCCACAATTAAAGGAACCAGACTGGACCAGGTAACCCAGACTGGGAACCAGACAGGGACAGATAATCCCAAAATATCTGGATATTCTGTGGATTTTGTCAGACTCCAGTGCTTGGACAGAGTGGGAACAAGCTGAAAGGGAATCATGGAGGCTCTTATCTGAAGATAGATAGGGAATATAAGAAGTTGTCTGTCTTTTGTAAGTGCAGCCTCTTGCCTACTGTTTATTTTACAAAGCGCTGGGACAAATTTCTAAAAGGAAATCTGCTATCTCGCCCTTGTCAGTGAGAGAGGGTTTAGTTTAGTAAGTAATAATAAGTGCTAGAAAAAGTAGTAAAAGTGAAGTACTGTAAATCCAGGTATCAGCTTACCTCTTAGTAAACTTTTCTTTTCAACTATAATTAAATAACTCAAATAGTAATTATTTTCACCTCTTTTTTTTTCTTTATTAGGGAAAAACAGTTCCCGTTACATATCTCACTAGGTGTATTTAGTCTGCTGCACACAGTATCATCCCAGTGTGGGAAAGAAACAGGAACCTTAACCTGCATTACTCAGGTCACTGTGCTGACAAGACGGCTTTATAACACTCTCAGCATATTCAAGATGCGGAAGGAGCAGCTAGATGTAAGGGACAACCAGGCATGACATCTTTCCTTGCCATGTTGCACTGAGCGCTTGGAGGCTCTACATCTTACACGGATGCAAGGGAAGCACCTCCAAGCCTGGCCTGGCACCTATGGAAAGGGCAGCATCATTGCAGTGGGATAGGGCTGCATTACAAGAAGAGTCCAGGTTTTCCCTTAGTTTCAATCCAGTAGTACAAAAAGACAGATTCTGAAATAATCCATCCTCCTCGTGGCTAAATATCTCCCCTGTAGAAGGAGGAACCCAGCTCCCGCAACACAGCGAGGTGTTGGCACACACCACCAACAGCTAGTCACTGAAGCCAAACTGACTGTACCGGTTGAAACCACCACTGGGAAAAACCCCACCATAATCCTGCTGTGGACACTTCCAAGTGCGAGTGCTAGCAAACAGTACTGTGCACGCTGGCTGCGTAGAGTCGAGTCTCTTACCTGACTCCTTCATTGAGGTTGTAAAGTTCGTGGTCCGGGAGACCCTTACGCTGGAACACGGCTATTACTCCATTGTGGATACTGAAAGAGGACAGTAGGAGCCATTAGCGACCAGTCGCATTTCAGAAGGGTATCACCTCCTCAATAAGCCTAATATCTCTGCCCAGACACTGCAGGACCTTTAAAAAAGTCAGATGACTTCTGGTACCCCATCCCAGATGCCTTAAAGTGAAATGTTGCCTAGAAAATAGATGATGCCTTTGAAAATCAGTTCTTTTTGTTTTGTTCCAGCTCAGTAACTTCAACAGTTGCACATCTGAAATCAACAATTTCAGAACACTTAGGCTTACTTATTTTAGCTTTTATTTTAAAGCATAACTTTTAATATATTCATACATTAAGTATATTTTCAGTATTTTAAAGTATATTTTGTTTCTGTGGCTCACCACAGAGACAGTTAACAGCTTCACCAGGGCATCAGTGATGATATTCCCAGCACTGTTGGCATATATTATTCTGATCTATGGTAACTTGATTTCTTTATCAACCAGTCAGCATTTACCCAGGCTGGACACCATACCTGAAGTTTACCCCACAAATATGGCATCCCTTTACTAGAACGGAATCCAAAGAATGGGTAGTTCTTAAAAAATAAAAAAAAAAGAAAGAAATACTGGACAATTACGAATTTTAAATCCATTTAACCAATCCCATTCATTTTCAAAAATGAAACAATAGAAAAGGGGCAATTGGTTAAAAAGACCGTTTCCTATTACCACTTACTCATTTCTCAAAGATGTACGCTTTTGCTCCAGCTAAAGGCAAAACCAAGGCTGCGCTGAAACAACGGCAGGTCTGGACTTTCTAAGGTGGGCAGCGAGAGAGGCAGCCATGTGCAAGGCACAGGCCAACCACGTGCAAGGCACAGGCCAACCACCTGCCCTACAAAAACGCTCCTTTTTTATTTCCATTGCCATTTGTAACTGTTCCGCAAGCAGCTGTTGCTTAGCGGTGGTGACCTGCTGCATTCAGACGCAATGAAAGGTGGGACTGGGACCACAAAATTACCCAGCTCAGCACAGAGTCACACGCCCATTGGAGACCTTATAGCACCTTCCAGTACCTCAAGGGGCTACAAGGAAGCTGGGGGGGACTTTTTACAAGGGCCTGTAGTGACAGGACAAGGGGTAACAGGTTTAAATTGAAAGTGGGGAGGTTTAGATTGGATATCGGGAAAAATTTCTTCCCAGAGAGGGTGGTGAGGCACTGGGACAGGTTGCCCAGAGAAGCTGTGGATGCCCCATCCCTGGAAGTGTCCAAGGCCAGGCTGGATGAGGCTTGGAGCAACCTGGTCTAGTGGAAGGTGTCCCTGCCCATGGCAGGGGGGTTGGAACTGGATGGTCTTTAAGGTCCCTTCCAACCCAAACCATTCTCTGGTTCTATGATACCTGACACTGTCTGTCCCTGGGGTGTATGGCCACCAGCCCCATAAATTCTAGGACACTGAATGGTAAAAACCTGCCAGGTACTGCAGGATGGATGCTTACTGGTCTCATGAACTTAACAGCACCACAGCTCAAAGGATTACTGAAATGAGTATGTGCTTCAAGAAGAGGCCCCAAATGCTCCTGAAATAGAGCTGACACGATTAGTGTGATGACACACCAGCCCAAATCACCAAGCTTATGTTTGAGGACAAAGGTAAAGAAATGCCAGTCAAAGGTAAGACCAAACCTGTTCCAGCATTACCACAAGGGCGTAGAAGTCTCCTTTCCCAACCCAGTGCCACCTTTAATAGACTCAGTTTTGACTCCAAGACTCAGGTGGTCCCTCCGACTGTCAGCTCATCCCCATTCATAGAATCACGGAATGGTTTGGGTTGGAAGGGACCTCAAAGATCATCTAGTTCCAACCCCCCTGCCATGGGCAGGGACACCTTCCACTAGACCAGGTTGCTCAATGCCTCGTCCAGCCAGGACGAGTGGATTCCTCCACTTTTGGAACCAGTTGGCAACCTCTACCACATGTAACTGTGGAGTGCGAGTTCCCAAAACATTAAGGTCTTTCAGGTTTCAGCTGGGGTAGAAGGAGCATCTTGTAGTGGCTGCAGGGTGAGCTCAACCTTTATTTGACAAGCACACAGATGTTTAACTTCACAATGCTAACACCACAAGAAAGCAGCCTTTATACAATCCACTGCTCATACTACTGCTACTTGGTTTCTAACATGACTGCTTTACTGAAATGGCCATTCCCACCACTGGCAGTGACTGCAAGTTACTTCATTTCTATCTGTCTCTTTTACCCCACATATAAAATAATGATGATGACACTGACTGCTAAAGGGTGTTTCCAGATACACATTTATGAAGATCATAACAAAAGCAATGAATGGCATTGTCAATTACAGCACTACATGTTATCATTGTCACTGTTTTGGTCTTCTTCCTTCAGAATCCTACTGACTGCAAAGGGAAAATACAGATTTTGGTGTGTGGCTCTTTCTGTTCAATGTTGCACTTGAGAAGGGTAGATGACACCTTAGGGCTTATTTTTAAAAAAGGATGGGTCAAAAGTCTTCCTGCTCTGCACCATCTCCCTGTTCAGCTCTCACTCTGCATGGCACCTCCCAGTCTGTAATCAGCAGGAGTGAGGAACAGCAACAACCAGCCACAGGGGTGCTCAGGAGGGGTATTTGGGGGCCACCGACTTGCATATCACTCCTAAAAATTCTGATGCAAAGATCAGAGGTTCACAAGCTGCACCATACATTTCCCCCCTTGGGGATCTGGTTTTACCAGCAACTCTGCAACAACATTTTTCAGAGCTTTGCAGATGACCTCCCTCTGCTCCCATGGCACTGGATTCTTGTGCAATGGAGCAACAGCCAGTTTCAGGCCACTGGAAAGCAAAACCAGGACCAGATTTGTCCATCCCAGGTACCAGGATTTGCAGTCATCCTGTCTTGTGCAGAAGAGCTAAAGGTGACACCTGTTTGCAAGGTCTCCAGAGGGATGAAGCCCGATTCCTAATGGCAAGCGAGCTTGGCCCACTTAGGGCCAGATCCAGCCACATGCAGCTGCTCCTACTGCAGTGGAGTGGGATACTCAAGCAGCAGTGATGTGTGCCTGAGAACCTCAGGTACCCACACTGAACCCTTCCAGGTCCATGGTAAGACAACCCTTTTTCAATGCTTGCTGGAAGCAGAGGACTGGGTCAGAAGGTAAAACTGCTGCTATTCATGATCATGGAGCAGATCCTCCTGAAAGCCAAGCAAAGGCACATGGAGAATGAGGAGGTGATTGGTGACAGCCAACATGGCTTCACCAAGGGCAGATCGTGCCTGACAAATATGGTGCCTTCTACAATGGGGTCACGACCTTGGTGGATAAAGGATGGGCAACCAATGTCATTTACCTGGACTTGTGCAAAGCCTTCAACACCATCCTGCACAACATCCTTGTCTCTAAACTGGAGAGACATGGATTTGACGGATGGACCGCTCGGTGGAGGAAAAAATGGCTTGATGGTCACACTCAGAGAGTGGTGGTCAACGGCTCCATGTCTGAGTGAAGACCAGTAACGAGCAGCGTTCCTCAGGGGTCGGTACTGGGACTGGTATTGTTTAACATCTTTGTCAGTGACATGGACGGTAGGATCAAGTGGACCCTCAGCCAGATTGCTGACGACACCAAGCTGTGTGGTGCAGTCAACGTGCTCGAGGGAAGGGACGGCATCCAGAGAAATGGCAGGATGGCAGGCTGGAGAGGTGGGCCTGTGCCAACCTCATGGAGTTCAACAAGGCCAAGGGCAAGGTCCTGCACCTGGGTCGGGGCAATCCCAAGCACAAGGACAGGCTGGGTGGAGAGTGGATCAAGAGCAGCCCTGAGGAGAAGGACTTGGGGGTACTGGGGGATGAAAAGCTGGACATGAGCCGGCCGTGTGCGCTGGCAGCCCAGAAGGCCAACCGTATCCTGGGCTGTATCCAGAGCAGTGTGGCCAGCAGGTCAAGTGAGGGGAATCTCCCCCTCTGCTCTGCTCTGGTGAGATCCCATCTGGAGTTCTGTATCCAGCTGTAGAACCCACAACGTTGGAAGGATATTGACCAGCTGGAGCAAGTCCAGAGGAGGCCACGGAGATGCTCCGAGGGCTGGAGCCCCTCTGCTATGGGGACAGGCTGGGAGAGTTGGGCTTGTTCAGCCGGGAGAAGAGAAGGCTCCAGGGAGACCTTATAGCACCTTCCAGTGCCTGAAGGGGCTACAAGGAAGCTGGGGGGGACTTTTTACATGGGCCTGTAGTGACAGGACAAGGGGTAACGGGTTTAAATTGAAAGTGGGGAGGTTTAGATTGGATATCAGGAAGAAGTTCTTCCTGGAGAGGGTGGTGAGGCACTGGGACAGGTTGCCCAGAGCAGCTGTGGATGCCCCATCCCTGGAAGTGTTCAAGGCCAGGCTGGATGAGGCTTGGAGCAACCTGGTCTAGTGGAAGGTGTCCCTGCCATGCCCCCTTTCCTGTTCTGTGGAAAAAGGGATTAAAAGCGGCAGGTGAAGGATATGACCCGCTGTAGAGAAACGCACAACCACATCAAAATAGGAACCATTATCCTCTTCTCTCTTTTGTGCCTTTGGTGACATTTCCAAGGTATTAAAAGCACCCCACACACTTACACCACGCACACCCACACATCCCGTGGTCCCTCCTTCTCCCCTACACCCACATGATCTAACCCAGCGTACACACTCATGATCTAACCCAGGTTATTTTGGCTGGCTCAAACAGACACACTAAATTTACAATTATTTGAAAATTGGCAGCTAAATGTGTCTGGTATACAGTGAAGCAACTTGGGTATTTTAATATTATGAGTAATATGTGAAGTACGATTAATGTAGTGAATAAAACAAGCATTCTTTACACGCTCTTCTGATTCGGAAATGAACTTTGCAATGTTCCCTGCCAGCCTGCAGAGAAGAATGACTACATCTCTCTCCTAGAAGCCGGCGTGTGCTCTCCTCTCTGGCACTCCTTTCTAAACAAGGGGGAGGTTTTCTCTTTCCAGTTTAGCAAGGCCATTATTATTC